GGTGGTCTTATTTAAGCATGGCGATTGCTGCGAGTGTTATACCGTCATCTTTAGAAAAATCGGGAGCCACGAGTATAGCTCCTTAATTCTTTTAACGAAAACGTCCGCCTAACGTTTAGATGGTCGTCCTCGAGGACGAGTACATTGTCTTGGAATCCACTTTACAGTTCTTCTCGTCCATCTATCGTCCGTTCTTTGACCGGTCCATCCGTGTTTCGCTGTAGATGTATAGACCTTTGGGTCAGAAAGATGGGATAGACCTGAAAGATTTGAGCTACGCAAGCCGGCCAGATGTTGTGTGCGGCCACTAAATTTCAGAAGACACATTGAAGCGCTCTGTGAGTTGCCCCTAGCAGTCTTGACGTGGTTGAAGTGTCAGCCTACATCTCAGCTGCATAGCAGAGCGCCGGTAGGACCGTTGAATCGAAAAGTTGACACGGAGTTTTGGGTCCGTTAGTTGGTCTGTGTCTTCTTTGAGAGGCCCGAATGCGGCTTATGCTTTTCCTCCTTCTATCTAGTTCTTTCTTAATGTTGTTTCCTCTTCAATGATCGCCCAAGATACATATACGAGTTCAATTTCAATTAGAGAACCATTCATTTCGACTTGATCACCATTGCACCATGGGTTCTTCATGAACTGGGTCTTCATCATGTTAATACGTAAGGCGATCTTCTTTTTGGTTCCGTTTAATTTCTTCAACATCGTCTCTGCCTCATTGGCACTTTTCGAAAAGATGACGATGTCGTCCGCAAAACGAAGATGTGAGAGGATTTTCCATCAACTCGAATGCCCTTCTTGTCTCAATCGAGCGACTTCAATAACCACTGTAGCGCGGCGGTGAACAGCTTTGGCGATATCGTATCACCCTGTCAAACCTCTTTACCAATGGATATGGTTAGAGGTCGATGAAGAAGCTGTATTTTTGTGGTGCAGTTTCGATAGCCGTCAGACAAGGTTATTATATGGGATCCACTCCTTGACTGACGAGCGCTAATAGGACGCCATTCATTTCGACGCTATCCGCCTTTTTTTTCATAGTAGACAAATGTTAGGATCAAGAGCATCTAATATTCCTGACAGACTTCAATGACCCGTGATACGGTTGGGCGTAGTCCATGCAGCAAAGTCCTCTACGGAATCCTGTTTGTTCAACTGGTTGAGCCTCATCCAAAGTTCTTTATGTGCGCAGAAGTACAATCTTCCTAAAGAGCTTTTACAGCACTTTCAGCAGCAAATCGGACGATAATTACAAAAATCTCTTTGGTCACCCCTTTTATGGAGGATGATTGTGCACGACGTCCTCTACTGGTTTGGAATTTGTCCTTCAGAAGGTAGGATGTCATATGCGTAGCGAGTAATACATGTAGATTATAGCTTCCAGTTCGTGCCTTCTATGGCAACACGTACTCCACAGGGTAAAATCCCGGGTGATTTTTCTCCAGTGGGATTTCGTAATCCTTGACGGGGATTGTGGAAAGGAAAAGGTTGGTGCAAAGCTTTTCCCTCATTGACTCAATGTCATGGCGGTATGTTCGAGCATTCTGATCTTCATTTTTCAGGGATGCGAGCGGAACACCATAACCGCACAAGTTTCGACGGCATTTTTTTAGGCTAGATCTTTTTTTGCTCCTTCCAACACATTCTTCTGCCTAAACCGGTGAAGGTCCTCCTGCAGAGCTCTTCTGCAGCTAAAGTTCATTATCACTCGAGTTAAGTGTGTTGCATTAGGATAAGCCTCAAATTTCTTCTTTTTTCGTGCAACTCCTTAGTGGTATTGAAGATGCGATCTAAACTTCTTGCTGGAGTGATTGATGAAGACTTGGCACAACTTATAAGTCCTTTGACAAGCAGCTCGTAGTCTTCCGTCCGATCTTCCTTTACCTGTCAGTCATGATTGAACAGGATTTCGCTGAGAATGTCTCCGCAGTAAACGGCTTGACAATTTCTTTTCGATCAATGACATGATTTCTTTTCCAGCTTGAGATTGAATCGAATCTTCGCGCGAAGAAGGCGGTGGTCGGATTCAGTAAAAAATTATAGGACTACGGATGTGGTCAGTAGGCACCACCTTCTGTTTGTGAGTATATGATCTATCTCCGCTTGTGTCGTGCCATTAGGTGACTCCCAGTCCAACGACGGTGTTGTTTCTTCTGGAAAAAAATAAATCTTCGTGGACGAGAAGTGCTGCAGACGAGAGCCCTGCAAGGCAATTTCCGTTCTCATTTCTTCTCCTAACTATATTCGCTCTCGTTTGCCCTCCCTATTCTGGCATTAAAGTTACCAACAATGAATTTGTAATACGACTCATCAATTCGGATAACTTCCTCCAACCGATAATAAAACGAATCCAATTCCTGTCATCAGCTGAGTCGGTCGGTGCGAAGCAGTTGATGATACTGATATTTCTGTTGCGCTTTAGCTGGAGTCGAGATAATCAGGCGAGGAGAAAGGATTTCATAAGAATTGACGTGATCGGTTATGGTCGGGTTAACGACAAAGCTTACGCCATCGACATTTCGTGACAAGAATTTTCTTCCTCGAATTATTAGCGTCCAGTTGCAGAGTTCGCAAATGTCGGTATTCCTGAATTTCGTTTCTTGTAGAGCAATCACATGATATTTTATGCGGTGTGCTTGTCAAGAAATGCTTGAAGATTGGCGTCAATGGAGAGCGTTCTTGCATTGTACGGCAAAGTAAAAAAAAACAGTCCCCATGGCGTGTCAGTCTGAGTGTGCGACAAATCCGGTTCCAGAGACGTCCTATGTATGCCGTAATTTCATAGCCTCTCACTGGTCGTCTCACCGTCTGACGCCATAGACGGGAGAACCAAGTGTACGGGGTACCAAGACTGCCTCATTGCTGGTTGTGCAGATTGGCTTCCTTGAATACCTAACTTTACCTTGCAAGGGCTATTTCAGTCTTCACGATGCTAATTCTAAGGAAGTAGCTTTCGGCGGCGGATTCTTAGTCGGAGTTCCTACCAACCGATTCGGCGATGGTGTTAAATCCGAATACAAAGGATAAAAGTAGGAATAAAGTAGGAAAAGTAGGAATAAAAAGTTAATCGACCGCCCACGGATGATGTAGAAGTGGAAAAAATCTTCAAGGTTGCAAAGAGAGTAGTTTCAATTAGCATATTACAGTATTTGTTGAGAAGCCAAAATCCACAAGCAGCAGCCGAAACGTAACGTAAAATGTTTGTAGATCTTCTGGAGGTAGCTTCAATCTATATGACCCATCTTCAAAATTTCTCATGGGATTTCGACACTTCGTGCATTCGAGTCGATTCTTAGCATCCGTAAACAACGAAAGCTCGGAACTTTTTGCTTGTAGTTTCAGCTAGTGTTTGTTGATTTTCTTCGTCTTCATGAATGTTGCTAAATGCTATTAGAATCAATTCTCCCTAGAATCTTGGTAGAATTTGTGTGAGGCTGTAGGATATAGTGTTTCTATGACAACCCTTGCATCGACATCAGACCGTAGATGCATGATTGTTTGGGCAATCCTTCCGAGTTTCAATTTCACCGTCGTGTTTGTGATGAGCGACATCATTCATCACTGCGACATCTATCCCAGAGTATTTTTATATAGAATCAATGCGAACAACCGACGTTGCGGCAGCTCCGCTTTGTTCAGAGCCTAGGAAAATCAGATTGCCTACGACCTAATCAGCCTAACACCTTCATTACTTCATAAGAAAAGATCACCAATCCAAAATCTCAATCATATCAAACCTAAAACACCCTTCAACAAACTCGGCGGTGTTTGTAAACCCTTCACTGAGTAGTTTGAGTGGAGACTACCGAGCAGAAATCACACGGATTGGTAAAGCACCTCCCACATAATTCATAACAAGACTAGCAATAGCTTTAATTCTTTCTTGGAAAAAAGTCGATGGTGAATAGGTTTGTTTTCTATATCAATGGAATTTTGGTCTATTAAGCGAAAATCACGAGTTACTAGTTAGAACACCAAATTATTTGAACTATCTAACGAGCGAGCCAGTGCGCCAAACTTTCTGCAGATTGAATGAAAGTAACATAGCAAGAGAATGACAAACCATTAGGTTTATAACAATATTTTGCCGTTTATTTCACTTCTTTAGAGAGCGTGTAGCATAGTACTAATATTTACATATAAAACACATTACATATGAAACACGCTTTGTTCTACTGCAGCCTCGAATAACTAAATCCGTCGCCTTTTTTTTTTTTTGAAAGGATGGCAACAACATATCTGAAGCCGCAAGTTGCTGTGTGGATTATATATGCATTCGATTAACTTCACGATTCTCGTGAAAGTTCGATACGGCACACACCAGGAGACTTGACCAACGCGAAAGGCCTACTCCTAAATCATTTAATAATTATTTGATAACCATCACCTGTTTCTATTTACAATATATTTCATAATTAGATAAATATTTGTCAATATAAATAGTATAAATAAATATTTATTAACATAATGATTAATACAAATAAGAGTAGGATATGACTTGTTTTGAGCCGATAGGTCTAGTGCTACATAGGCGCCTATTTCGTCCAATTGGGACTCATCAGTAGCACCCTCCCTCGGTTCCGGCGATCCCTTGAGGTGAAATAATCCTCTAAATGAATCGACGCCGAGTAAAATTAAGTACCGAAAGTAGGATGATGGTATTACCTGACTTTGTGGTGACCGGCAGTCGAGCTTGCGGCTTTTAGAATGAACCATACCTCTGCTATCGACCGCTCTTTTACAGACCCGCTCAAAATGGTTTAATCTGAATGATGTTTTTACTAGGCGTCGATTCCTTTAGAGGATTATTTCACCTCAAGGGATCGCCGGAACCGAGGGAGGGTGCTACTGATGAGTCCCAATAGGACGAAATAGGCGCCTATATAGCACTAGACCTATGGCTCAAAATATGTCATATCCTTATCAGATTAAATCATTTTGAGCGGGTCTGTAAAAGAGCGGTCGATAGCAGAGGTATAAATAAGAGTGCTGTGCAAAACGAGCGTCGGTAGTGCAACGGTTAGCATACGCTCCCGGAGAGAGTGAGATTTTGGTTCGAATCCCGGCTGACGCAAACGTTTTTACACATCACTCCACATATTGGTTATACTATAACAACATACCACTGCAAGTGGCAGTCAAAATAAAAAGAATTTAGACTATTTCATAATTATACCTTTATTTCGAATTTTTTGTTTAGACCACGCTTTTGAGCGTGGTCCAAACAAAGCACTTGAAATAAAGGTATAATTATGATAAAAGTAGCAGCCAAAGAGCAATCAAGTGCGTAACACTCAGTGTTAGGTGGTTTCACTTGACATAGAGTGTAAAGCGTTCGTCTTTGATGCCTCTCTATGAGGAGTGTAAGGCTCCCGAGAGAACTGACTATAAAAAAAATCGAAAGACGACGGGTTCTGCGCGGCTGACGAGTCTGTGAGTACGAAACACGTGTATCGGGCTGTACAAGAGCCCTTACCAGACCACATGACAAGTTGGCTCAAATAATAATGAAAGGATATCTCATAATTGTTATGAGCCTCTCATAGTTCTCATAGTTGTAGTCTGAGCTTTTCCATTTTTTATTCGCACAAAAATGTCCGAGGTATTTTTTTACAGGGAGCACTAGAAACTTCAACGTTACCATCTTCTCCCTGCCAGTAGCCATGGTTTTCTCGATGGCAGCAGATGCGCCAATCGAGGCTCCTGATATCTCACCTACTGCAGATGCAGCGAAAGCGCTTGTAACACGTCTTGTAATGCAAGCAGTAAGCATGAATTTCTTGCAGAACAAATTTTTGCAGTATATTACAAGAGTTGACAAGAGTGCTGCAATTTTCAATAGATCGTTAACGTTTGGTTTTAGAAAAGTTGTACAACTTCGCATGCACTGAGTGGAGGCAAAATCTGCATAAAATCTTAATTAAGCTGCTTTTGTAACAATTCCATGAATTCAAATTTCTAAAGATACTAAGTGAAAAAAAACCTTATGCTCCAGACCGGAACTGAACCCGTGATTTATCCATATCGGAGGCGCGCGCCATTATTACATAACCGCGGCAACCGATCTGTTATCATTTGCCCTCAGTATGGGATACATGCAGGTCTAAAATTCCTGCTTGGAATCGGCACATTTGCACATCATTCAGCATCCGTTACTAGAAATATCTCCAAATAGATTCTGCAACGTAATAAACACCTTTATTATTCAGGTTACTGATGTTCTCTTCCAACAAGGTCGAGCTGCATTTCTACCAGATGCTGTAATTTCTACAATTTTGGATCAACTCACTATTCAGGTCAATTACGAACCACTACAATGCAATATGGTGTTCGCTCCCAAAATGCCAGATGCTATGCGTAAGTTTGCGATTTTTTCCCTACACCTTATGAGGGGAATAGTTTGAATAGTTTGTGGGTCAAAGTTGATTAGGAACTACGTAGCTGGATGTTAAACTACTTTGGGGAGGAAGTTCAATGACCTTTCGAGTCTATCGCATAGCATGATTTTGGAACGGCATATGAACAGCGTCAACGAAGATCAAGCGGGTTATAAGTCAAGCAATTTCACAAGAAATTCAAGGGCGGTTGTAATAGAAACATGACACTTCCTGAAGGCGCGCGTTCGCTGTAAGAATTGGGTCCACGCTTCTCACCATCGCAATACATTTCTAAGGAGTCCCTGTATGGGGTTGTATGTAACTTACGCGAACTTCAAGATAAACCTCTTGAAAATTTCGGAGCTGAGGAAGTCAGTCGAAATGGGCAGCAAGGAGTAGGGGCATTACATCATCACCATTTCCATAGTTGTTCTATAGACAAGTCCCCAACGAGGAAAGTAATAAAAAATCTTGACGCTTTGAGCGCAAAAATACTAGATTTCTCATACGCTATCACGTAAAAAGAAATCACTCAAATTTCACCGCATTAGAGAGGAAGAAATTCGAAAACCGATAAGACAAGAAAACATAAGATTATCCGTCAATGATATAGATGGAGATTTCTAGTAATTTCTCTACACTTAATGTCAAAATAACCAAGGAGCATCTTGAAGAGGTTTCGCTTTAGCGGTCATCTTCTGAGGGGTTTAAAAGTCGCTACAATAAGTTGATCATTAAATGGGTCAATATGGCAGAGGCGGTATCTATTATTTCTCAATTGAAAATCCTATACCAACATGTCCAGTTGCACTTATGAAAACACAAATTAAAATTCACTGATGATCTAACGTCTAACGATCCATCATTACTCATAGCGAAATCCATCATCACCTGTGTAAACGAACCGGAGGACAGAATAGCATGGTTTCTAACTCCAATAGTACTCCATCTGCCAGAACATATTCCAGCCCATCTTGCAAGCAGTCAAATTTCTGAATCATCTACGTAATGGGCATCCTAACAGCGCGTACGAGATAGAGTCATTCGGCGTGGCCGCCCTTCTAACGTGTCGAATGACTGTGGATTGCAAGTCACCCACGAGCTGCTCATACAACACCAAAGAGCGGTAAACACGTATGGCTTGTGGATTCAGCAGTTCATGATTATTCTGAAAGAGTGTCTGCACTGCTCAATCTTCAGATGGTCCGGAAAGTATTTTGCGCAAATGATAAGGTTGACGATGAAGTAGCGAATGACGCCCACTGTAGCTATTGCCTCTATGTCGAAAGTGTAAGCCTCAGTAATTGATTTTTGGTCATTTCTCCACTGGTTTATAGATGATTATATAGTTAACTGCTACACTCAAGGGGAGTCGTAGAGAATTTTAGGCTGCTGAATGTATAGTCAGAGTGCATAGAATTTCTTCGTGAGAGACCAAAAGATTACTGACTACCTAACGCGAACGTGTAAATAAATCTATCCGACAATGATTACATAACGAAGTGGTACCGAGAGCCAAGTAGCGAGATATCTTAGCTCTTTACCTCTCCTATCACCCTCCCACCTCCCCCCACACACAAAAAAGGCGCTTGTTAAAAACATGTTCCTAAAACGGCCGGTGTGTGTACTGGAAGGGAGCAGAGAGTAGAATCCTTCAACATGGTTCGGGATATAGCAGTTTTCAATGGCTACGAAATTGTAACTCTTCCGTATAGGCTTGGAGGGAATAACGCCCTCTGAATGATATTTCTAACAAAAAAAGAGTCCTGTTCATCATTTGTTTCTTTTCAAATGAGATAATTAGAGCTCTGCATCTCATACAAGGTCGATGATTCGATCTTGTGCTCATAGCTCAGTAAGCCATCCGTCATTTCTTGGTCCTTAAGACAGATAAGGAAGTTTCTCATGGACTAATGGGGCTTCCAAAGCCATCTGCACGTGATCTCATTGAGGTTATTCGCAGAACAGCAATAAATAATGTTCATAGCTGAGACTGATTGGGAAATTCTCGAGCGAAGTCGCTGAAGTGATATTGTATTGCAATCTGCAAAATCATTTCTGACAAACAAGTCTTGATTAATAGTTATTTTCGTATAATGTCGTCATTTTCTTTGACTTACAGCCTCTGGCTGTTTCCCAGAAACTTGTTGTCCATAGCCAGGGCGTACTCTCTACTCCCTTTGTTCTCACTCTCAACTTTCTCACGATCTCAACCAGTTGGTGTATAAAGGCGGCGCCTCGCATCGTGAGAATTAGAGGCGCTCGTGGGATCGGAGACGCAGGGAGCACAACCACCCCGCACAGAGACGCATATACCTAACTAGGTTTAGAGTCTAATAATTATTCAATAGCTTGTACTACGAGAATCTCAACGATGTATATTGTTTTTGAGATAGCTTATTTATTGCGTTGTTATAACAAAAGCAGAATTGTGTTTCACACTCGAGCACTTTTCGCTGAACAGAGGCTTTTACTAAGAATCTAAATATATATTCGATAGCTTGAACTCGGCAGTCTTAATGATGTAACTGGTTTTCGAAATAACTTGCCGTTGCGCTGTAGCAGCGAAAAGAGCACTGGGTTTTGCAAATCTGGATCATTTTCATCTTCCGCACTCTGATTCGAGCTCTTGGGAAAAACGCGTTTTTCGATTTTTCTGTAATTTTAGCAGCCATTTAATAACTTATGTTCCGAAATTGAGAAAATTTATTGATTTACTTCTTTAAGCCAAACACGAGGTGTTACATTAAACTTTATTTAACACCTGACGTTTCGGCGGTTCGCCATCTTGAGAGCCTGGAAAGGTCAAATTGTCCGCAATTCAATCAGTCAAACACCTCCATTACTCTTTAAGAAAAAATCACCAGACCCAGATTTCAATCGCATAAAGCACAAAATCAACTCTCAACATACTCACCGCTTTTTAAATGTGTTCCACTGAGGGATTCGAGTGAAGATCACCGGAAGGAAATCACATAGGCTCATAGTGCACCCTACCCATCAAAACAACAGTCTTATATCAGGAATTGTATTGAAGCATGCCGAGGTTAATAGACAGTCGTTCTTGGGAATTGTTAAAATTTATTGAACTTTTGGAATAGCCTTTTTACTGCGCTTCAACAGTCAAAACAAGGTTATGTTCAACACTCAAGTATTAATAGCTGGACAAAATTTTCTCTTGAGAATTCTAATAATCATTCTAGCTGCATTTCGTTAATTGGAACCAAATACCTAATTTTTGAAAAGGACTGCTTATTGCAATGTAGCACTCAAATGATATTGGATTTCGCTCTCGTCTTACATTCTTTGCTACGGTATACAAATGGGATCGATCGCGTAGAGCGAGTTGAAGAAAGCTTTGAAAAAAATGAAGTCCACCAAAATTCTCGTAATTTGAGCAATTAAAAGACTACCGAAACTCTTGAAAAATCAGAAAACGCGTTTCCCTCAAGGGATTGAAACAAAGTGCGTTCAGCGAAAGAGTAGCGAAATGAAACATAAATAAGAGTGAAATATGGATGAACACAGATAAGAAAGCATAAAAGTGCTCAATGAGTGTTGGGACTATGACGTTTTCGTAAGCATCTGGTCTCCCTTCAAAAAATGGCGTTTTCAAAAAAGCAATGGCATCAATTTTAGGTTGCGGCGATGAAGAAATTCATTCAGAGTATAAGTGCATCTATAGAAAGTTCTCACC